GGATCTCGGTTCTGCGTCTTCGATTATCTCTGGGGCTTCATCACCTCTACTTTCCACCATACTCAAGGTATGCTTCCCTCTCCGCTTTCCGTTTTCTTCTTCACATTTATCGTTTTCGATTTCCTATCCGCTCTACTACGATACTTAGTTCCACCATAGTTATTAATTTTGTTTTTCAACTCCAATTTCCAGCTATATTCGGTACTTCGAGTTGTGATTCGAAATCTCCAAGTCTAACACGTAATTTTTTTTCTCATTGGAACTTCGACTAGAGTCCCGACGATTCGTAGTAGTGTACCCGAAGATGAAAAACCTGTTTTTGAGCATAGAGCTTTAGAAATTGACGCTATCTGAGCTCTTAAAGCCTTTTTCTAGGGTTAAAATCTGATGTAGAAGCATTATTGTATCTGTAGTGTAGCCCAGTCTCTAATTAATTTTTCTAATTTTTGTTACTTTTTTTTCTTTTTTTTATCTGCGAGTCTCTTGTCGTTCAGGTTACGAAGTTTACTTTACTAGTTTCTAAGTGAGATTCCCAAATTGTAATTCTTCTCTATTAAACCGCTGCCTTTGGCCCCGCTGGGTCTCTTTCAAAATATTATGAGAGTAAAGTGGGAAGTGGATAGAATGTGGCAAGTGCAGAATTGAGATAGGGAACCAAGATCTTGTTAGAGAGGGACTTGGAAGCTCCGTGTTCGTGTGATTTCTAATTGTTTTCTCCACATTCGAAAGAAATATTGATATAAGCTGGGTAGAATGTGATAGTCTGATGCAGGACTTTAGTTATTTGATAAGGGAGGACTTTCATTTGTCTTGTTTTTTCTGTTTAGATAAAATTTTCACGTTGTTCAATGATCTACTTTTGCAGAACTTGGTATCAACTCTGTAACTATGTCAACATCTTACCTTCCTGCCACAACTGATTCGATTGCTGAGGCTTTAGAAGCTAAGAATTCATCAGAGTCTATCTCGATCCTCTACCGTATTCTGGAAAACCCTTCATCTTTCCCTGAGGCTCTACGGATAAAGGAACAGGCAATAACAAATCTCTCAGATCTTCTCAGACAAGAGAATCGTGCGGAGGATCTTCGTAACCTTTTGACTCAACTTAGGCCTTTCTTTAACTTAATACCAAAGGCAAAAACAGCAAAAATTGTCCGAGGAATCATTGATGCTGTGGCTAAAATCCCAGACACATCTGAGTTGCAGATTTCCCTATGCAAGGAAATGGTGCAGTGGACACGTGCTGAGAAGCGAACTTTCCTTCGGCAACGGGTTGAGGCCAGGCTTGCTGCTCTTTTGATGGAAAATAAGGAGTACCCTGAAGCCTTAAATCTCCTGACTGGATTAATCAAGGAAGTAAGAAGACTGGATGATAAGCTTCTCCTTGTAGACATAGATCTGTTGGAGAGCAAGCTCCATTTTTCTCTGAGGAACCTCCCTAAAGCTAAAGCTGCACTGACTGCTGCAAGAACAGCCGCTAACGCCATATACGTGCCTCCAGCACAACAGGGCACTATCGACTTGCAGAGTGGCATCCTCCATGCCGAAGAGAAGGATTACAAAACTGCTTACAGTTATTTCTTTGAAGCTTTTGAAGCTTTCAATGCTCTTGAAGATCCCCGTGCTGTATTTAGCCTAAAGTATATGTTGCTGTGCAAAATAATGGTTAACCAGGCTGATGATGTGGCAGGAATAATATCATCAAAAGCAGGTCTGCAATACGTGGGAATCGAGCTGGATGCGATGAAAGCTGTAGCTGATGCACATTCCAAGCGTTCGTTAAAGCTTTTCGAGACAGCACTTAGAGATTTTAAGGCTCAACTAGAAGAAGACCCCATTGTCCACAGGCATCTCTCTTCTCTCTATGACACTTTGTTGGAGCAAAATCTCTGCAGGTTGATTGAACCATTCTCAAGAGTTGAGATTGCTCATATCGCCGACCTGATCGAACTGCCTGTGGATCATGTGGAAAAGAAGTTGTCTCAGATGATTCTGGACAAGAAGTTTGCAGGGACTTTAGACCAAGGTGCTGGATGCCTTATCATTTTTGATGACCCGAAGACCGACGCCATATATCCAGCCACACTGGAGACCATCTCCAACATTGGCAAGGTTGTGGATAGCCTCTATGTTAGGTCAGCAAAGATAATGGCCTAAGGTTATTGGCGTCTGATCGACCCGCTTTGAGCGAGCTGCTGCTGTTTTGCACTTTGCTGGCCTTGGTATGGGACTGCCTTATTTTTATGGTTATTTTGCTTGACTATTGAATGATTCCTAATGAACTTTTGTGTTGTGATTTAAGAGCACTTTAGTTTCAAGTTTTAGTGGTCAGGTGTGTTTGGAGAAAGACGGTTTCAGGCTCATTCTTAAAAGTTAAATGAAATTAGACCACTCTGTACCTTGTCTCATTTTCCCATTCTTCTGGAAATTGGTACAGATTTCATCTTCAAGGTACTTGTTCATTTGCACTGACTACATATTTGGTGGAGGAAGATGTTTATTTGTGCACTTTCAACTTTTATTTAAAGAAAAACTCTCTTTCAAAAAGGTGTTTTAACCTAAAATCATTCCTTCGATCGAGAGACTAATCTTGTTCAATTTTATTGGAAATAATAATAATAAATAGTCAAATTATATTAAAATTATACTATTCAACTTCATTTTTTTCCTTTTAAACTTCAAAATTGTTTCAAGACAACTACTTCGTCAACTTTTTCATTGAAATGAAGATGAAAATGTGTCATGACGGTGAGTTGTAATAATAGTGGTACATGTGTGGTAAATTTCAGTCATGCCTCTAAACTTTGAGAAAAATTTCAATTATGCTTCAATCGTTTCGTAAATTTTGTTTTAGTGGTAACTTTGAAAATTGTTTCTAATATTGGAGGTTACATATGAAAATGAGTGGTAAGAAAATCAACCGAGTGGTTTTACTTTTAGTCATATTCGAACAGAAAATGTGGCGATCGGAGAAGGAAGCATATTTGAGGGTTAGATTTAGTTGGAAAGCTACACATTATGAGAAAAAATCGTGCACAATAAATCAAATAACTGAAAGGCAAACACAAGTAAAAGCGAAGGCGTGAGCGGGGTCGTCCATGGGAAAATACGTTGGAAGATTAGAGTCGGTGGAAAATGTGGATTCATGGAAGCTTCGGGGAACAATAAATTAAAAGATCGACTTATGAAGGAAGATAGTTAGCAACAGTGGTTCTTAGATTTGATTGTGTTACATTTCTTTGTTTGTTTGTCTTCTTTGTTCATGTTCTGACCTGGATTTTTGTCCATTTATCTAATACTAGTCACGCATCATCTTTAATTTCTATTATCTCTCTTCTTCGTTCATGTCCTTAATTCTGTCTATTCATCTTTTGATTGTGTTGGGAAAAATTACTCACCAATAATATTATACTGGTTCACCCCAACTATTGACTACATCCAATCTTCCGCAACAACGGGTTCTACTATGATTTTGGGATAAATACAACGAGTCTCACAAACACTCTACAAAACTCTCTCTAGATGCCACAGCAATGGTCACCTAACTTCTAAACACTACGACAATAGATATTTAGAAATATAGAATGAAAACCTCACTAACCTCACGAGAATGGGCTGCTGACAATGTACTATAGATCAAGTTTGTTCTCCGCCAACTCTACTTGCCGCCACTGCCACGTTTGTGCACCAACACAAAACCTTCAATTCCAACGGCCTAGCAACAAAAAAAGTTTTGTTATAAAACAAAACCTAAAGACAAGTGAAGTAAATTGGGCTTTAATGTATATTTAGACCCAATTCATTCTTTTTGATTAGTATTTGTTTTGGCTCCATTCATTTTTCCAACAGATTGTGAAATCAAATAAAATAACGTTATTTCGAATTATACTAAGACTTTCGATTGTTATTTACAACTCACCACCACCATGTCACATTCTCATCTGCATTGTAATGCAGGAGCTAACAAAATAGTTGTCTTGAAATAATTTCAAAAGTTAAGATCGAAAATGAAATTGTGAAACGAAAGGGCATAAATGAAACCTACATAAAAGTTGAGGGGATAATTAGAACTTGCCACTTACATGGACACATACCTCACTTTTTACAACTTATTGCCTAGTAATAGAAAAGTTGCCAAAATGGTTATTTACAATTTTAAAGGTTAAGGATAAAAACAAAACTTTTGTAGGTTTAAAGGCATTAATTGAAATATATTCAAAAGTTGAGGTAAACTAAATTCATTTTTATCTAATTTTTCGTTTTTAGTTCAACTTTTGAATTATATAAAGCTTTTTTTTTCAACTTTTTCATTTTTTTGAGTTCTTTTATGAAAATGGGTTCAAAATACAGAAATTTTTTTTCAGAGTTTTGAATCTTGGTTAATTGAATCTCCGACTCCTAGTATTATTTCGAGAGTTAAAATTTATGAAACATAGAATAATTATTAGATTCTTGTTGCTCCATCGATACTTGTGGATTCAAAGGTGCAAGAACAGAGACATCATTTGACACTCAAACCGCAGCAAGAAATGCTATTGGCAATAGTGGGTCAGAGTATGCAGCAAGCGACACCTTGACTAAACCTATTGATGACCAAGGTGAAATTTTAGCTTCTGAATCTCGATTAATTGAATCTCCACTCTTGGTATTATTTCGAGACGTTTTGTATATGAGTCTTTTCGAACCAGACTTACTTTTTTTTTTTTTTTTTATCATTTACATATGTAATATGATTTGGATATTGATACAATTCATCTAAAAATGAGTACTTTATCTACTCATTCATGCTTGGATGAACACTCCTTTTAGTCTAAACCACTATATCTTACAAAAAGAAATTCTCAAGTTACAATATATGCCAACAATTTCATTAAAACAATATCTAAAAAAAAAAATTCATTAAAACAATAATATTTCTTAAAAATGTGAAAAAACCATTAAATTCACAATTCACAATTCACATCCAGCAGGTCCCACCATAGGCTTCGTTTTGAAAAAATATCTTCCTCATTCTCTTCACGAAACCAACTTCTCCTTCTCTTCTTCCGCTTCCCCCCAACTTCTCTGGTTCAGTTGGACACCCTTCCACGCACACACAAAATTCATCCCAAATTTCCCTTCAATCACGCTACCCATTCTTCGATTCATATTCCAAAATTTCACCCAATTCTGAAGAAATCAACACTCGCAACTCGAGCTTCAAATCCGGCCCTTCCATGGATTCCCTCTCATCCGTCTCGCCTTCCTTAGTTCTTCCTTCCAGAAACCCCCTCCGCTCCTGCTCACGGCGCCGCCGCATCGCTCTCTCGTTTGGGCGCCTCCGCTACCCTCTCCCTCCTGCGCCCACCTTGTTCGGTCCTCCGTCAAGAAGGCTGCGAGAAATTTCCTGTACAGCGAGAGGAGACGGCGATGGCGAAGAAGGAAGCGAGGATGTGGATATGGAGAGGGCGCTTAGCTTAGATGGAACTATTCCTGTTACTTCTAATGAGTTCCTGAAGCGGGTCTCGTCCCGTGCTTATGATATGAGGAGGCATCTCCACCAGACGTTTGATAGCAGCAGTTATGATGGTATTTATACAAATTCAAATTAGTTGCATTCGATTGGTGTCCTTGTTGATTTGATTTTGCATGCGCCTTTCCTGTTCATTTTTTATTTGAATCCAGCATTTTGCTCTGTTTTCTATTTTAGTTTGGAGAAGATTTGATTCTAGATGAACAAGTAATTGGTATGGATTCGTGAAAAGCGGCTTTTAGCTTTCTTCTTAAATCGAGATCTGAAAACATGTTATCGATTTTTGCTGTTTCTTTACTGTATACTATTTCAATTTGACGTAAGATCATTCAGAATCCAACCGGATGGTCTCTGCTGGAGGTATGCAAAATTACAAACTTAGTGATGATCAATGTCTATTTAGTCTTGATGTCTAAACAGTTCTAGTTTCGTTCTCGAGTTTTCAATTTTTGTTCTAACAAGTCCTTGAATTTGATGTAGCATGTTGATTGGACTAACTTAACAAGTAATGATTTGACACGACGGAACACAAAAAAGTAGGGTAGTTGCCTTAGATAAACTAGCATACTCTCTTGTACTAAGTCACAGTAAATTCACTCATTAGTCCAATCAACATGCCTCGTCAATGTTCAGGACGTTCTAAAAAGGAAAATGGAAGCTCAATAATGTAATTGAAACTTCTTAAACTTTCGGGATTAAATAGACAAATATCAAAGTACAGGACTAAATTTGTAATTTAACCAATTATATTTACTAATGAGTTGTTGAGGATCATCAAAACTGTTTAGTTTGGCTTCTATAAATTGATTGACACATTTAGGCTGCACATCTATGCCATTGGAAAAGATTGCATAGCTTCCCTGGATGTATTGTTTTCAATTGAATGTAAATATTACTCGAGAAATAATTTGACAACAGAGCATGGTAAACTTTTTTCTTACCCACAAAAGGGGATAATATTGATAGTATTTGTAGCACCCAGGTAACATTTTTCCTAAATCATCCATTGTGTAGAGGATTAAAAAACAACAGAATTGTTTCTGGACTGCAAATGCGTATAGTTCTTTCCTTGAAGAAAGAGAACTTTGCGATGAAGGGTACATCTTAGATAGTAATTATCAGTTCTCTTCACTTGGAAACTGCTCTGCTAATAATTTGATAATATGTAATATGTTCAAATCTTTATTATTTTTGTTGTGTTCTTCGTATAGAGTCTTCTATAGTTTAACCTTAGTTTCCTATCCTTCCATCATTTTACTCAGTTCTGGAAGCCAATCCGTGGAGGGAAAGTTCAAAACCCGTATACGTACTTACACACAATGAGAATCAAATATGCACAATGAAAACTCGGAGAAATAGGAGGTATAGAATTGATTTTGTTTTTCTGGTCTTCTAAAACATTATTACTTATTACTCAATTCATGGTTTTGTTTGCTCATCAGTGAAGTGGAAAGAGAGCTTGGATTATTGTTTTCTAAAGGTGGAAAATTGAGGTCTGAGAATCAGAAAAAACAGTCAAAGACAGGAATCAAATTTCAGATGCTTGTGGAAGATATTAGGGAGGGAGTACTTGTAAGTGCCTGCTTGTTCCCATTATATTGATTTTAGTTGTCAGCTGAATGGTTTTTGGTAACAACATTCAGTAATATGATGTCCCAAATCGTAAACTTTAGCCAGTATTGTTAAATAGCGATGTTTTAGTCAACAAGACTATTTATTCTTTTTACAGGTGTTTGAAGATGAAAACGAAGCTGCGAGATATTGCGACTTATTGCAAGGTGGAGGCCGAGGTTGTGAAGGTGTATTCGAGATTGAAGCCTCATCGGTAAGCGTTGATCACTCTTGAATTCATCTAACATGCAATCCTTTTCACCAAATTTATTTGTCTACCAACTCTATATATGTATTATCTAATATTTATTGATGCACTTGTGTATTCTTTCATTTTACTCGATGCTAACTCCGTTTCTCATGTGTATCTATATTGGTTCAGGTGTTCGATCTCTGCAAGAAGATGAGGGCCCTTGCTGTCCTGTTTCGGAGAGGGAGGACACCCCCTTTGCCTCAGAGCCTCGAGTTGAACCTCAAAGCTCGTAAACGATCTCTCGAAGACCAGGACGAGTTGGTATGAATATCATATTTTCACAGTAAACATGGAACAAGTGTGACATCCCCAATGCTAGTGGCAAGTATATAGAAAAAGAAAGGGTATACATATTCTCTTGGTGTAATATAAACCGAGTTTCTAACGATCTAGTCCCAAATCGTGCATATACAAGATAAACTAGAAAGATTTAGAGTGAGGAAGATGATTTTCTTCCTACTGTTTTATGGATGAACTGTTTATAAAAAAGAACATAGAATCTTTATAATTTTCTCATGTGAACGTCACAGACTGCAAGGCTAAAATGAATTTTTTGATTGATTTGAAAAATCTCTCAAGAAGACTAAAGAAAATCTGCTTTTAGTCTATACCATATATGTAAGTATAAAACTTCGGATAATGGACAAACTATCGTTGGTGTAAAAATGAATTTTAGTAAATCTTTAAACTACCATTAATATTTCAATTTAAAAGTAAATATTATATATGAATTCATATAATTAAATGGAAGTGTACTACTGTTTATTCTTGGTCATTGGGAGAGCTCTTAGTATGCAAAGGAGGAGGATAATCGAGAAAACATATCATATTGTGATAGATAGGATAGTGAGAGCGGTACAAATGTGGTAAGTTCATAGGTCTTGTGGTTGAACTTAACACGACGTTCCATTTACAATCTTATGAACGGCAATATGACTTGGTGATTGCTAGTTCATAGGTCTTGTGGTTGAACTTAACACGACGTTCCATTTACAATCTTACGAACGGCAATATGACTTGGTGATTGCTAGTTCATAGGTCTTGTGGTTGAACTTAACACGACGTTCCATTTACAATCTTACGAACGGCAATATGACTTGGTGATTGCTAGTTCATAGGTCTTGTGGTTGAACTTAACACGACGTTCCATTTACAATCTTACGAACGGCAATATGACTTGATGATTGCTGAGAACTCAAGGGAAACAAGTCTGTCTTAGTTCTTGTTTGAGAAAATTGAGCTGAAAATTGTGAAGTGAGATCGAGCAAGCTAAGTTGAATTAACTGACAGAGGCGTGCTTAGCAAGGAGATTTGCAAGCAAAGAAAAGGAGCTCTGATGCTCAAATTGGATTTAAGTTCGAATCTCTAGGTCGGTTTCAAACAGAATTTGCATACTTGCTTGAGTGAAATGAGGATGTGTTTACAGAGATTTGAATGATGGTTCCCATTGCACGGCGGGATCGCGGCGTGACCCGGACGGTTATTAACTCCCTTTAATGCTCTGGCCCGGAGCTCGGGCTTACCGAGTTGCGGGCCTTCTTGCTACTTGGTTAAGTTTGGGTAGTCGAGCTACGCAAGTCGGTGACCTAGGTCCACATGGCATTCCTTGATTTCTCTCCAAACCATCATTTTATTATAGAAAGGTTCAAAGATGAGATAGTATGTGATGTAGTACCAATGCATATCAGAGACATCCTACTTGAGAGACCATGATAATTTGATAGGACGTTCAATGGTTTTCTTCCCCATTACATTTTTACGCATCTTGTTAGAAAATTACACTTCTTCTCCTATACATTAAAGATGTACGTGTTTTGATCAAATGAAGTTGAAGAAATAAGAGTAGAGGCCACGAAAATAAGTAAAAAGAAGAATTTAAAGAAAAAAGAGAATTTGAAAAAGAAAGAGAGTTGAGAAAAGCAAAAGAGTAGCTTGTGCTAGACAATCTCTTGAGGTTAGAAAAGAATTATTTTCAAGGGCATACTTGTAGTTATTTTTTAGGAAACTAACTCTTATTTCTTTTTATTGCTTTTGAGACTTTTTAACAAGAATTCAAAGATGTCTCTTTCTTAAAACGTTGCCAAAGAGCTACCATCATCAAGGAGCACAAGATAAATTTCATCTTGGGAGCATCAATATCCAACACCAACCCAGATATTCAAGGACAAGTCTATAATCACCAAGGAGATCCAAATGCAAAGTAGATGAATTTCTTGTCCAAAGGTTATGTTACATAAAGTTAGTTCTTGCGGTATCCTTATTTTAAAGGATGGTTCATGAAGAATTTATGTGATTGTAGGACTATAAATAAGATTACAATCAAGCAAAATATAGTTGTAGGTTAGATAATATGCTTTATAAATTGTAGGAATGATATAAAAAAAAAAATGTATGGATGTAGCTAGAGGTGTACATATGTAGTCCACAAACCGGTCCGATCGACTGAAGTCGACCGAACCGACATGGTTCAGTCAGTTTTACTCATATTTAACGATCGATTGGTTTTGTATATACAAAACAAAACCGATCAGTCGGTTGGTTATTGTAAATCTGTCCAAACCGAC